GAAATTCAATGAGAATTCAAAGGAAAAAGCAGATATTTGGTTTATTTTGAATGAAATTCAAAATGGGCTGATGTCCATATTGAGTGTTTGACAGTATCATGCGTGGTTATGGAGAAGAAAAGGAAAAATTATAATAATTTATTTTGCATTTTATTAACGTGAGTGTTGACAATAAGAAAACAAAATAAGAAGTGATATATTAGATAATATTAATAAGAATTACAAATAGATCAGTGATTGCTAAGAGAGCTCAGCTCACCTCAGAAGGCTCAGCTGATATCACTCTAAACAATCACCAAATAAATTAAAGAAGAAGGTGAAACAAGGAAAAAAAGGTTTTCATTGTTTGTTTCACCTTTTTCTTTTTTTTGTTTTTTTGATTTCGTTTACTAAGCGTCGGCTATCTATTACGAGAGGATGTATCGTTTCAACAAATCGCCTAATGTGTGAGTTGCTGTCGTTAATATATTGAAATTGTTTTCAATAGGAAAGAGGTGCTAGTAGTTAGTTGGATGCTGGCTTTTGGTTGCAATTTAGAAGATTCTCATAACCTTTCCGTCTTCAGGTACATCATCATAATTAGCTCCATTGCCATCTCCGTAGTCGAAACCTTCAGCTACATCAACTTGCTCGGTTGTCTTCTGTGAATATGATTTGATTGTTTTTTTTATTTATTCAACCTTTCAACTCACGATGTTTACTTGATTGCTTGATGGAGCAATGGAAGGAACTTCAATATGAGTAGTTGACACGGTGGATGGAACTGCTGGTTGTTCAGCACTAGAGATGTGCTCAACCGTTGGTTCATGAACAGCAGGGACTTCCTTTTGATTCGTGAAAGTTGAAGCAACAGGAACTTCTGGGCGATCTTCGTTCAAGGTATCGTAGTCGTCACCATCGAGCTCTCCAACCTTCAATTATATGTATTTATATATCTTACATGTTTTCAAAGTATATAAGCACTCACGTTTTCTTCATTATTCTTTGGAGCAAAGGGCTCAATTGGCTTGTTTTGTGGAGCAGAAGTAGAATCAACTTGGTGGTTAACAGAATTGAAGTCTAATCCTCCATTTCTTTGTCCAACAGTAGATTGAGTTGGATGTGGTTGCTCAACATGAGGAGCTACGTTGTTGTGCTCAACAGGGGTTGGTCTGACTGCCCCGGTTCCTGTATTTTCTTCATTCTCTTCAAGATCAGTAGATTCGTTGACAGTTACTGGTCCGGTTATTGGGGCGTTGAACTTAGTGCTACTAATTGGTACACTTGGAACTACTCCGACGCTTGGTTGAACAACAGTAGTAGGAGAAGGAACAACGTTGAAAGTTGGGCGTGGGGCAGCTGGGATTGTTACAGCTGGGTGTACGACGGTGGTGTGGACATTAGTGGCTGGAACATTCTCAGTTGGTCCTGTGACGATTGGTACTGGAGCTGGTCGAACTTGTTGAGTAACAACAGTAACTTGGTTTCTGGATCCTGAAGAGGATGGAGCGGCTGGGACTGAGGTTCTTCCAGCTGGTCTCTGAAAGGATTGAATAAAGAAAAATATTCAAAAATGAATATTGTACTGGAGCTGCTCCATTAGCATCAGATGGATTATATCCCTCGAAATCATCATAACTTGCTCCATCTTCATCGTCGTATTTTCCGTTGTGGCCATTCTTGCCACGAATCTTGGATTCTTTGGTGTTTCCAAGTACTCCCTTGTAATCAATAGGAGCTGGCTACAAAATTTTTTTTTACTAATGTGTTAAGTGTTTTTTCTTACCTGTTCGGAAGGAACTACAACAGTATGAGTGGATTCTTGAACACCGGAAGTTGGAACAACAATATCGGATCCAGCTCCTGGTACTGTAACAACGCTAGATGGTTGAATGACATGCTGAAAACTCTTTGTTAAGGCTTTCAATCAAATAATTTGTTGAAAAGGAGAAAAAGTGCTCGATGTTGATCAGAAATCGTAGCATTCGCAGAAAAACAAAAAGATGGATAGCCCAAATAATCTGGTTAATTACGTAAGTCAAAAAAAAAGAATGAGCGAGAATAGCCTTTTAGTCTGATGTGAAACCGGATAAGGTAGAGTTCAAGTTCTTTCAAAATAAAAAAAAGGAATTACGAAAAGCTTTTGTTCCATTGATTATGGTTTTGGACATGCTTTTTATCCCTGCACTCTCAGATTCGATGGTATGAATAGAAGAACTTACAATTTGGTTGGTAGGCACCTCGTAGACATTGCCGCCATGTGGTTCAACCGAACCACCAGAAGATGCATAAACTGTCTGTTGTTGAGTATTTCCGGGTGCGATGTACTAAAAAGGAATGCACTCAAAATATTTTCAAATTTCTCAAGTCTCACTCCTCCTAATGGTTGTTGTGGAACCAAAGCAGGTTGTTGCTGCTGTAATGAAGCTCCAATCACTCCAGCGCTGGCATACTAGAACGAACTCCGTTAATTAAAAAAAACAAATATTAACATACTCCAAAGTTTGATTGCCCCCCTACTTGAGGAATGTTCAGATTCTGTTGAACAGGTGCTAAATATCAAATGAGATTTCAATACTTCAAATGTTTGTTTACCTGGGAAGGCATAAGCGTTGTTAGGGAGTTGAGCTGGAGGTGGGGCAGCGAATGGCTTAAAGTTGAAAGATAAGTTGAAATTCTACTATTTTTCTTACAAGAACAGGAGCAGCTTGGAATGCACCAGCTGGAGCTGTAACATATGCTCCTCCTGCAGGAACGCTTGGACTGAAAAATTTGAAAAAATAGGTTTCAAAAACAGCAATATTTTGTCTACATTGGTGGTGGAGCACCTCCACATGGGCTAGAGCATGATGGAGCAGAAGCTTGACAACATCCACCAGATCCTCCGAAAAGGCCTCCGATGCAAGCTAGAGATGGGCTAGCAATAGCCAATAGAATCTATAGAACAACAGTAATGAGATAAACGTATATATATAAAAACTAGAATTACCACAATGGATTTGATCATCGTCTTTCGCAAGCTGATCTCTAAAGGTAGCTCGCTTCCTTAGCCCAACTGTTTAGCTCGTTTTATTTATATAGTATTGGATAGGCGCGAACTTGAAAATCGCTTTGGATGGAAGTCAAAAGAAATAACGAAGGAGGAAAAAAGGTGGTCCATGCTTGTCAGATTCTCATCCTCGACATGTCTAGGTTTGAACTACTTTTTATGTGAAAATTTCATGATACGATAGTTGCGCTACCAGATTTGCGAAGTGAAACGATGATCTAATGGAATTTGAGAATAAATTGTGGGGAAAGACGACAGCTTATCATTATGGTTAAAAGAGACCGATGGCCATTCAGATGTATTCTAAAAACGCCTTATAAATCTTATACGTAAAACAGTGAGAGAGAGAAAGAGACTTGGACAAAGAGGAAAGAGGAGCTAAGTGATAGAAAGTTAAGCTTCGATCATTTCCTTCAAAAGCTATAGATGTTTTTATGCTATCCGACCCTTTTTTTCTCGAACAGTTTTAATTTCGTCCGGATATATCATCTGATTTCAATCGACAGAAGAAGCTTGCAAGTACATTACATTTCGAATGTTTAGCTGTTCCGTACACATACTCTACGTTTTTTTTTGTGACAAAAAAAATTTATTTGATGGCTGTTTTGACTCATTTAATTCATCTGAACAAACTCTCTTCAACTAGTTTTTCTTTCTCTCACATTAAATTATTGAATGTATTCGACCTTTGCTTTCGTTTGGCTTCATCTCAAAATCCAACATAAAGCTCTTCACCTCATTGATTTCCTATACAACATCAGAAAGTCATCTTGTTATTTATCTTTTATACTTTTTTTTTCTTTTCTTCTGTTGCTTTCAATATCAATAGCATAGTTAAAATTATTGAAGATTAGCATAATTCCTAATTGTTCACGCCGATTTGACGTGAGACGTGTATTGACCAGAATGTTCCAATTGCAAAAGGCGTGTGATGATCGGTTGTAACTGCAATATCTTTGCATTCGCATAAAAAGATAATAATTTTAATTTTTATAGTCTGATTGTTGTGCAATCGGCTTAAGTGAGAGGACGAGAATACGTTCTGCTTGCAAATCTGTTGAGATCATTGAGCTCTTTAAACTTTAATTTAATAAATTTTTTATTTTCGAGAGAAACTTTAATGAATCAAAGATGGGAAAATGGAGTGACAGCACTCACAATAGAGAGATTCGTGCGATTGTCGGAAAATCAGCTAATCTGCAGAATAATAATTTCGAAAAAAAAAGAATGGAAACAGCTATACTTCCTTATAGAGTACAATCGCATGTAATTCGAAGCTCATTCAATGTATTCGCTTTACATAAGAAAAGTGTTTTGAAGAACTTTTTCGTTCATTTAGGCTGATTTCATTCGAAAAAGAAATTACCTTGACAACAACAATCATAAAATATATTTCTTTAAATAAAATTAAAAAAAGAATTTTTAAAATAGAAAAATTTAATAAGTTACAGACAAGAAGTATGTATACATCTGTACATTAACTATATGATATATATATATATTAATATGTTTATTATATATATATATATATATATTTTAGTATATACAATCAGTTTTGATTATTAAAAATGAATTAACAAGTTTCTTGAGGACAAAAAAAACAGAAGGGCTACAACCATTGATATGAGATCACAAAGCATAAAACGGGTTTAGAACCTGACTGTGAGAATTTTAATTGAAAGGTTAACATACATATATAAGGAAAGAAAGATATGACTGGGTTTATGTTTTTCTTTTCCTTTTTACTAACAATAATATCACAATTGGCATTGTCGAGAAGGGTGGAGAGAGAGAGGGAGAGAGAGAGAGAGAAAGAGACAGAGAAATGGAGATAGAGGAAGAGAGAAGGAGCAAAGAGAGAAGGTAACTGTAAGGAAGAGGCTTTACTTAGGAAAACAATACATAACTTATAACGAATGGATTAGGGATGAAATTATATTCTCATTTTATAAGAACTGCCTATTCCTTTTTCTTAAACCGTATTCGAAAATATTGGCTGTTGTCTCATTGCCAGCAGCGTCTTCAACAGATCATCTGATGCTGATGATGTAAGAGACATTTGATCATGTTGAGTTGTTATGTACAGGGGATGTTGCTGAGAAGCTTGATGCATCTGTTGTTGACTACGTAAAAGTGCCAAAATATCTGGCTGTCCAGGCATAGGAACTGGCACTTGTGTTGGAGCCGGTGCTTGTTGGGGATGGGCGAGATGGTTTGCTTGATTGCCTGTCAGAAGACTCAATAACTGCTGTAGACATGCATTTTGCTGTTGTTGCTGTTGCTGCTGAGCTTGTTGCTGCTGTTGTTGCAATAACGATGTTTGTAAAAGAATCTGAGGATTCAGGAGGCTGACCAATTGATCGGTAGACATCATGGGAGCCGTTGATGTTGGCTGTTGAATGTTCATGTTTACATTAGGACGGCCAAGTTGACTTTGATTCAACATGAACGGAGCAGTTATTCCGGTTGCTGGAACAGTCATTGAAGCTGCAGCTGTCGTCATGGAACTGATTGGCACTTGGCTGACTGTAGGTTGTGTAGACATGAAGCCCATACCAGTGGTTACGGTAGGGAAAGATGATACAGTAAGCATTGGAGTAGCAGTGGCAGGAATTGATGGAATTGTGGTCGAAGAAGCTACAGCAGTGATTGGAACGGAGGCGGGAGTTGAAGTGGTAGGAAGAATAGATGTAGAAGAAGCAACGGAAGAAGTTGCTGATGTTGTGTTTGCGACATCAGAGGTGGCCGAAGTGGCAGAGACCGACATAGCATTTCCAGTATTCTCACCAGTTTCCTAGAAGAAAATATATAAAATTTATAGCCAATTAGAGCATTCTTACATCATCAACAAAAACTTTCATTGCAGGTATAGTAGGGAGAAGGATGTATCTGCCTTTTTTCTCTTTAACATTGGGTGGAGAGATTTTGGGAATATCCCTATATGGCTCCTGAAAATTGTATTTTTAATAAAAAGTTCTGTTCTTTGAAATATGAGGTGAGATTACATTCAGAGCACATGTTCTATGAATGAAAAGGTATTTGGGAAAAAAAAGATATTTGAACTAGTTTATACTTTATACTTGTTGGATGGATATAGTGAGGGAAAACGAGAAAATAGCTTTGAAGATTATTTTTGGAATATTTTTCAGTCCCGGGAAGAGATAACATTGAACTCAATAAGAGTGCTCGTCACATACAAAGGTTCATACAAATCATCAAAACATGTTATTGCCAAGTCAGACGGATGAGGAAGAAAGACGAGCAGAAGAGAAGAAGAAGACATGAAACTGATGAAAGTTCGTTTAAACACAGAAAGAGAGAAAAAGAGAGAGGATCATAGAGAGAAGACTTAAAGAGGGAAAGTAGAAAGAGAATTATAAATGAGACAGAAAGAACAAACTAATCAAAGCTTTGCATTTTTGCTTAGAAATGAATGTGAGAGTCAAAATAATTTGTAGATGAGATAGAGAGTGAATGAGAGATGAGAAGAGAAAAATGGGTAAGAGAAGAAGAGGAAAGAGACCTTTTGATATTTTTTTTGCATAAACATTCTCATTGTGATGATCAGGGAGACCATTGGACAAGTTGAAAGTTGTCCTTCTATTATGGATTTAAGCTTCAATCTTTTTATTCTGTTTTTCAAGTGTTCTGCACTTCTTGCACACAACATTTTCAATTTTGAAACCGTCGTTAAGCAGAACGTCAATTTTTCGGAATTCCATATATGTGTATATCCATCTAACATATGTTTTCCGAACAGATCTTTGCTTAGTCGCCAATTTCTGTTAAGTAACACACATACACCCGTACACATATACACACACACACACACACACAGAACGACAATTGAGCTGATCATATGATGTAATTGGAAGCAGAATAATCGTCATGGTTGACTTCATTGGTCTCGCCGTTCCCTTTGCCTTCGACACGATTCAATTATCATCCGAGAATATGAAAATCTCTTTTTTTATTTATATAAAGATATTATTTCTTCATATTCCCTTCATTTCTATTTTTTATGATCAAAAACTAATCTGTGGACATATATTTTGGATTTTCGATTCTCTTTCCTCGTCCTCCTCCGCTGTCTTGCTCTTCAACATCAATTGCATTTGTTACAACAGAGCAAAAAGCATTATTTTACCTTCCAAATAAGTCCGAATATACAAATGAATGCTTATTTTCGGAAAATGCAGGAGGGGGTGGTGGAAGAGAACAGTAAATCCTATTAATGATTGAAAATATGGAAACTGAAGTCACGAGGAAGTCAATCTATTTGAGAGAGAGAGAGAGAAGAAATATATAAAGGGAGAGGTGCATTGAATAAGAGAGAGATAGAGAGAGAGTTTATCGTTAATGACATGTCTTTCCTGCTATTGCCTGGTCACACACACAAACACAAAATGTTGATCTTTCGATCTTATTTTGCCTTATAAAGGAAATTTCATGAAATCTGTTATTCATCAAATAGCAAGACAGAAAAAATGTTTAATTTAATAATAGATAAGCAAATGGAAACAATTTGAAACCACAGTGATCTTTGCTATAGATGAAAGAGATTATTTGAAACGTACAGATTATGGAATTTCTTTAAAAGGATATAATTTCCCTCTTTCTCTTTTTGTCTCTGTACTTCTCTCTCTATTTCTCTCTCTCTCTGTGCTAACTTCTTTTTCTCTCTACCTCTGTCTTCCTGTGTCTCACATTTCCTTCCTATTTCATTATTCATAAAGTATTGTTTACATCAAGAGACAAATTAGGAGAGACTTTTCAATATTTCTCACTTTTCCCTCCTAATTTCTTCTTTTGAAGAATGTGTATGTATGGGTGTGTGTGTGTTTCAGAAATATGCTTTAAAATGCTAAAAAGGACAAGTTGTCTTGAGCAAAGTGCTCAAGAACCTAGGAACAACTGTTGTTTTTATCAATTCCCTTCTTTCACTTTCATTTTTTTCTTCTTTTCTCTCTCAGAGGTTTACCCTTTTCTTCTCCTTTCTTTCCTTACTCTCATCACACTTTTTTTATTCTCTTTTGAGACTCTTGAAATTCCTTTGCCTTTGGGCTATTGTTTCAGCGTTGTCCTTCTTGTGTCACAATCATTCATCAACCAAATATGTATGTTGGTCATTTTCTTAGATTTCATTCTCCGAACAACTTTCCATGAATTCTAGAATGAAAATGACCTGAACAAAACATTATTTTTTGGCTAAAGATTAGTCCGATTGAACGAGAAAACATCTCTGGAACACGTTGGGAATTTTCGTCATCACATCTCAAGGCTTTCTGCTTCAAACGTTTCTCATTCTTTGTGCGGAAGCGAAAACGTGTGTGTGTGTGTGTATGTGTGTGTGTGTGTGTGTGCAGAGTACATTTGTTTAAGAAAAAAAATATTTTTTTTCATATCCAAAAACAGTTCGGGAAACGGGCCGGAAATGAGGAATTGAATTGAATTTTCTTTTTTTTAACCGTTGCCTCGTCTGAATGCAGTTGAACGCTCTGAACTGAATGAGTTTTCTGATCAAACTAGAGACAAACTAGAGCGCGAACGATCAACAACTCTTATGGAGAAGAGGAAGAAGAGGAGAGAAGTAAATGGGAAAGGAGAAGATAAGAGTGTACAAATTGAGTAAATGTATAAGAGGGTATGAAAAGAAAAATTAAAAGAGGAGAGAAAGAGAGAAGAACATGAAGAGAGAAAACTCAAAAGAAGAAAAGATCAATAGAATCGTCGTCAAAGTTCTAAAGATCAAATTTGACAATCGTAACCAAGAGAAGTGGCCGTCCAAACATAAGAAACTTTCTGTTCTTCGTAAAGCTTGAAATAGATGACAACAAAAGAATTTCAAATAGGTAAAATTGGCTAATTCGTTGATGAGTAGTTAGGATCAAACATCATCATAAAAGATTTGCTGGAAAATTCATTTCAATGAAAACAGAGAGAGAGATAGGGAGACAGAGAGAGAGTAACAGAGAATTCATAAAGAAAAATTCGAAAAAAAAAGAAAGATAAAACTAACCATTGGACAGATTGTTGTATTGGCTCTTTTCCGACTGATTGGCTTCAGATCGTCATCACTTTCCGCTACAGAAGGTATTGTCTGTGAAGCTAATGAAGCTTTGCGTTCGTCGTCCATCTTCTTCTTGTCCGCAGCACATTTGGCTTTCCATATATCATAAGACATAACAGTCATGGCTCCCAGAGACATGCTACGACTTTCGATTCCGGTACGAGTTGGGCTCTGAATAAAATAAAAATTATTTTTAGTTATTGATAGGTTTAGATGAAGCTGATGATGTAGATTGAGAGAGAAAAATGAAAATATTATAATTGTGTTTTTTCATCGAATCTTCTCCCAATTGTGATGATGACGACGAGTGTTTATTGTAAAAGAAAAGCCAAAAAAGGATTAGAAATAAAAATATCAAACGACCAAATGATCCATTCAAATGGTTGTTTGAAATGGGCTGATCTTTCGCAAATTGGTCAGCATGAAGAGAAAGAGAGAGTGAGAGAAAATGAAAATCTTTTTGTAATTATAAATAATATGAATGAATAGATCTATACATATACATATATATATATGTAAGAATTCTGAAACTACCGAATGAACGATTGAGTGTTCAGAGAGAGTGAGATAGAGAGACAGAGAGGTGAGGAAGATTGAGATAGAGGAAAGCAAGATAGGAGAGAGAGAGAAACCTAATATAGAAGGTGGGCGGCGATGCAACAGGAAAAGGATAGAGATAAATGGAGTAATCGAAATAAAGGCGTGGCAAGTCCATGATGATGTTTTAATTTATTAATAAACACTTTTATACACTAAATAGTAGTTTCGAAACCAATTCACATGTAATCATTTGCTTATTCTGGTCATGCTGAGCACGAGGCTACATGAAAGACTAGAAAGAAAACTCTTTTCTTCTGCAGAAGTTGATTCCATTGAACTCGGCAATGAATGGAAAGTGAAATCGAAAGATCATTCCGTTCTGTTTGTGTTTTATGTGTAGCCTAATGTTTGAACCCCCCAATGATATGGAAACGAACAAAGGAAAGAACAAGTTAGTTTGAGAGAGAGATGAAAGGTTGATAGAGAGAAGGATGGCTCTACCCACGTCATTGCGAAGAGGAACAGAGCGATTATTTCCGGAACTTCAAATTGCAAACCACGTGGCAAATGATCTTCATGAGCTCCGAAGGAATAGGTTAAAGACATAAAAGAAGGAGTAGGAACGAGAGGTAGAGATAGATAAAAGTCAAAGTCCAAATAAAGACTTGATGTACCCAAGCGCAGGGGGCAACAACCACATCGTATCAAGAGAGGGATGGTGAGGCAAGCAAAGAAGTAGAAAACAAAATTAGAGATAAAGCTGAACGAGAGAAGTGAATGAAACATGGTTGGATCGAAAGAGGTGCATGGAAGTCAGGACGTTTAGCCCTTAATTAGTTTTTCGTTTCTTTTCTCTATTTTTTTTGCGAGTTCTGTCTTCGATCTCTGAAATAGCATGAAAACGGCAAAATATTACAAAATAAGTTTGTTAAAGTGCTTGTTATGAATTTCAATGAAGAAAAGTATTCTTCACATGGCAAATACTTGACGAATGAAGAAGAAATTCCATCGAAATCAGAATTTGGAAGAAGGAAAAATCTGTTTTTTTTATTGCAAAATTCACGAGGCAGCTAATCCTTGAAAATCGTCACAAATAGCCAAAGGCCACTCACTGAGAGAATACGAGCAGACAAGTCGGATTAAACATCGACTGACTCTAGTCTCGTCAAAACTCCAAAATATAAACTTTGTGATATCACTTTCCATGGAAACAAATATGGAATTTGAACTGAACAAATCAAGTGGGTGTACAGTTAAGGACATACACAGGACAGGCAGAATGGAGGAACAGCATAGAGACAGGAGGGTGAGAAAGAAAAGGAATGAGGAAAGGTTGTTGAAAGAGAGAAGTACGTTCAGCAGTTCACTGATCATGCAAACAATCTCAATAGAAAATATGGAAACATCGTCGTTTTGATTTGTTCTCCAAAAATTTTTTGAGCTTTTCTTCTATCAAACAACAGGTGGAAACCCGAAAATGGAAACTTACGCTGTCAGAATCCATTTCGACTTCAATTGATGAGGATGTTGTGGCTGTTGATGAACTTGATATTTTGCGAGAACTCACTGAAATTAAAAAATATAAATTTTGAGAACCAACAGGAATGCATTAAAAATAAATAAATTTTGATGTTCAAAATGATCATACTAACATAGACGAGAACGGAGATGAAAAAGAGTTTTGCAGTTCGCCCTCTGCGTATGGTTGGAATGAAAGCCAAACTTGAACTTGAATGGGGTGTAGATGGTATGAGAACAAATATGGAGGAGAGCTTTCTGATGTTTTTGAGATAAAAAGTTTAAGAACATGAAGATGTTTGAGATGGTTGCAGAGAGATAACGAGAAAAAAATTTGATCTTCAATAGAGAGCAACAACTAGAAGCTGTTGACTTCTATTTGAATGAACGTGATTGAGCAAAATGTTTTAGAAGAGAATCATTGAAAGTTAATGTTTGTCGATGACGTCAGTTTTGTGAGGGCAAAAACTTTGATAAGACAATGGTAGGCAAAATGCTGGAGGTTGAAGCAGCAAACTCTATGAGAGACAAACTTTGGCAACACGCTTGAAAACTTAAAAGTATAAAGAGTAGGCAAGGCAGAGAGAGAAACAGAGACAACAAATAGTTAGAAACTTTGCTGAAAAAATTAATCTCCGACTACTAAAAAAGCTCTTTCAACTTTTGATCCCTACGACCAGAGTTACAGAGCAGGAGTGAAAGCAAAGGAGTTTCATGAATGAAGCATAATGCGCCAACTTGACTGAAAAGCAACTGGACGTCGAAAGCATGAAGATGAGGAAATAAACGGTGAGGTCATAGCTTCTGGGTCGACCATTCCAACTTTACGTCGAAGCATGACGATGAAGAATGCACAAAGTGGATTTGTTCGTCTTCTAAACCGGATAGAAGAGGAGATCGGCTTGAGTTTAGCAGGTAACCTATAGACTTATACATGAGATAGTTAGCACTTATCATGAGTTCAAAGAAATACATCAGAAGTCTAGACTAATCAACCCTTCGAGTTTCAAAAAGTTTAAGAGAAAGTTAAAAATAAATAATTTTAAAAGAAATGCGCGAAAACATTCAGACTGACTGACTGCCAAGCCAAAGCGACTACGCGACTGATGTGGTTGAATGTACGGACCGCCTCTTTCACTCTAGATCGCCTGGGCCACCCCATTCGGAATCCTCTCGTTCTCTATCAGTTGAACGAACATGCATCACTTTTCTCTCTTTCTGTGTTCCTCATATACTATCTCTCACTCTCTATCATTCCCAAATAAGAACATATGGGGTGTAGACAAGCAAAAGCAAAAGATTTCAAGTCACAAAGTTCACGGGGGCAACTTAATGCGGGCGGATAAGAAAGTTCCAGACTTTCGTTCGCATTTACTTCCTTTGAAAGTGCTTATCTGACTTTTTTAGGTTAGTTAGCTGGGAAAGCACAGGCACTTCTAGACCCGAGAGGGATAAGAACGAAGAAACAAAAAAATGTGATTTGAAGCAATTTGTGTAATATAGCAAAGTGGAAGAAAAATGATTTTCACCAGCTGTGTTTGAGATTATTTTTCAGTTCTTTCATGTTCTTCATCATGATTGAGTTGGTAAGAGAAGTGAGATAAAAAAAGATGAGCAAAGTGGAAAAAATAGAATTCTAGCTCAAAGATAAATGTATCTCATTTGACATTGTTCAAGATGGACACGTTTCGTCTGACGTTAAGCTTCGACACATTTGAGCTACTTTTGTTTTTCCGTCTATTTCAGATCTTTTCATCTTTGTTCACTCCTCAATTCGTCTTTTCTCTATTTTCTTTCCTCTTTTCTATCGTTTTGGCCGCAGCCTGTTATCCATTATACTTGTTTTGTACTATAAACAACATAAAGATTGTTCTCCAACAGCTAGCATGATAGAGAATGTTGAGAAATAGAGAGTGAAAGCAAATTGAAAATAGAGAGGGCGGAAAAGAGGTTGAATGCCAACTAAGCCTTCAACAGTCGCACTCTTTCCTCCCCTCCCCCTTTACTTTCAACTGCAAAATAGCATCCAGATCAGTAAGATCGACGAACGACGACCAACAGCCCTGGTTGGACGGAAACAATAAGCTAGAGTACGATAAAACGAGAGACACAGAAATAAGACCAAAACAGCCCCGTCATCGTCTGTCTACTGTACTTTCCTGAGAATACTGAGAAGAAAGAATAAAAGAACAAAATAGAAAATGAGAGGTAAAGCAAAAGAAAAGAAACAAAAGCTCATACAGAGAAATGGAACATGATTAGAAGAAGGGCGAATACCACCTATATGCACATCAATTTCAATCATTCAAATAAATATAGAGCATGATGTTCTGCCCTCCTCTCACTACCTCTACCTCTCTCTCTGCCTTCTACTCTCTTCATACTCTGCTCATGTTTCTTTCGTGATAGAAATCAGGACACATGTCCTTAACAATATCTTGTATTTCAAAAATTTAATTTCAATTCATGTAAACTTCTTAGTTCAATCATTGCTAATCAAATCAACTGCAAAACAAAATGAGCTGAAGAACAGTGTGAAGACATCCCCATGCGCCCCTCTCTTTCTCTCTTTCTCTATCTTTCTCTCTCTCTTTCTTTCTCTGTCAGCTGGGGGCACTCCCCTTACTCTCTTCCCCTATAACACAAATCTGAAACTATTTGTTCCTTGATCTTGCGATACCGATAAGAAACAAACGAGGTTTCTGTCAATCAGAGGGACATTTCATATTTCCAAAGTTAAAATAAAAAAAAAGAAGAAGAAGCTAGAGAAATCTCGAAGTAAAAGAAGATGTAAATGATGATGATCATAAAGTGGCGAATAGAATACAACTCATCCCAAATGCTAATAAAAGAAGAAATTTTAATTTTACATATAAATAAAACATCAATCACCGTTTGAAAATGTCAACTTCGTTAAATTTGATGAAAAATAAATATTCCAAAAGACAATTTAGTTAATTATGAATCTTCTCCGCCTTTTTTTCTTTTTTTTTTTCTCAACAGGGTCCTCATTTTTCCAAAAACAAGACAAATATGCAAATGTCATATATATAGATATATCGGATGAAAATGGGTTGAAAAGACTAGCAACCAGAGTTTAATAAACTCAAACAATATCAAAATAATTAGCGAAAACCAACTATTATTACATTTTTTTTATTAAAAATTAGTATTTAATTGCCATTTTTTTGAGTATAAATGCGAAATTACACATGTTTATCACGTCCTCAACATTTTCGTGCTTTCGACACATAATCTTCCTCTTATTCTATTCTGATTCCGAATATAACAAAAGAGAGAAAAAATTTTTTTTTTAACCAACTCTCTCTCTCTCTCTCTATCTACCTCTCTCTCCCTCTGTTTCAATTTTTTTATTCTCTCCTCTACTCTGAGAAGGAAATTGTTCATTTTTTGACGAAATGGAGGAAAATTACGAAATATCTTCAACAACACCCACAATTATCTTTGACATTCTTCGATTTTACGAACAAAAAAAGGACTTTTTTTATTGTTCTGACAATGACATTTATTCAAATGTAGTCCGAACCACGTGGATATTGATAACGTGAACTCTCACGTATACATTTCCAGCGTGTTGATTCTCATTGTATGCAAATCGCTTGCGAACGAACGGTTGTGCTTAGATTATTCGCTCTCTCATACACACGTTTCAGTTCTGTAACATTCGAATACAGTGTTGCCATGACCAGATAGAGGAATGTTGCGCAAAAAGAATTTTTTTTAGCACTTTTCTTCAAAAGTTAGATGATATGAACCATTGAATATTAGCAGGCACACCATAATGAGAAGAAAAATCGAAAACTTACTTCCACTACTACGACTTTCACGTTCTTGTCGCCTTTTTTCGCATAATTCAGCAGCTAATTTTAATTTATCCTTATTTCTCTTGCTGAAGGACTTCAATCGTTTCTGATTCAATCGTTCGCACTGAAAACAGAATAAGAATGCTCTGAAATAAAAAAAAGAAAATATTCTTACAGATTTACAAGTACATAGTATATAGGGACAGTTCGGTGTGTGATTCTTGAGAACAACTTTCTCACCATGTCCTTCGCATTTTCTACAATATAGTATTCTTCCGGCACTTTGCGCACCAGAAGTACTTGACGGTGAACCTAGTGGAGGATGATTTTCCATATCGGGATTGCTCCATTCGCTAGAGTTTGAAGGAGATTGAGACATATCACGAGTCACCTGTAGTGGTGTCATTCAGCTGAAATACGGTGAACATTAGAACATGTAGCAACAAATGATACAAATGATTAAAAACACAGAATTAGGTAAAGAAAAATGAAAGTGAGGAAATAAAATTTTTTTTCTCTTGCTCAGACTTGGCTTTCCTCTTGTTATTCTTTTGTAAAAAGAAAAGAAAGTTTATTTTAGTATAGAATAGATATTTTGAACGAAACAACAATCGAAACAACAAATAAAAGATGGAAAAAGTTAGTTGGAGTACGGTATAATATATACAATTCGGTTATAGAGAGAATCTCTGTGTTAAGCATCTTAACGAATACGTTCATCATCGTCGCCGGTACTGTAGCTAAGCGATAGCAGATGAAGCTGAACATCAACCTTTTCATTCTTTATTTTCATTTTTTTTTTCACAAAAATAGAGATTTGAATGAAATAGCTAACTTTCAGTAGATTTTACTCATTCATACCATAAAAGGAAATAAAAAATGGACAAGATAAGGAACTAAGTCAGCTGCAATCTCTAAGAGAGAGAGAGAGAGAGAAAGATACTGTAGCCTCTTTTTAATCTTTCAGACTCTTTGTGTTTAAAATCATTTTTTCTCTCTGAATCTCTCATATTCTCTCTATAATATATAATCTTCATGTTCTTCTTATTCTTCTTCCTCTCTTTCAAAGTGGTTACCTCTAATTTTATTTTCTTTTTCTTCTTCATTAAATAAATGATGTAATATATCTAAAGCATTGAAATGATAGGAGAAGCAGCGAATAGACATTCTTATAATTCAATTAAAGCTTAACTATTCTACCATATACGTATATCTATCTATCTAGATAAATATATATGTATATGCAAATTATATTTATGTTACAAAGAATCAAGTAAACAGATGAATAGAAGAAGAAGCAATAAGATTCTGAATGTTCCTTATAAATCATTAAAACTTCAAACCTCCATCAATGGAATTGATCAAAGTCACGTAGGCGATGTAAAGAACTGTTAAAATTTGTAGATCAGCCAATTGGATATGAGAAAAAGATGAATAAAAATGATGTCATACAATTAAAAATTTTTGTCAAATGTCACGTCGTCTCTCTGTGATTATCAGAGAAAATCTTCTTTTTAACAAATCAATCAGTAACCAAACATGACTCTTTCATATTAAACATTTTGAACTGTTCATCAAGTAGTGTTGTGTTGGAGACGTTTGATTTTCTGATTTATTTCATTAGATTAGTCTTAGACATCTCTTTCTCTCTCTATCACTCTCTCTCTCTTCATACATACACTGATAATCATAGTGTCAATCGTGAGACGTTAATGCATGGTGGAGGTTACGAAAAGCTGGATGTGTATGACTGATCTTCGAAAGTTCGAATATATTCTATTCTATCTATCCATCGTTCGCCGGTATGTCATATTCTTCACACACACAGCCACACCGTTGGGAGGAGCTATACAGCCCTTTCTCTCACATAATTAAGGAACAAAAAAAATATAGGAAACGACTTGAACCCAACTTGACAACATTTTGATGGTTTGATCTCTTGGCCTTTAACAACCCGATTGTCAGCAGTTATCTGTTACTATTTTCTCTCTCTCCTTTTCATGGTCAACGTATTGTGTTCCACTAAAATGAACTTGAGATCATAATTTTAAACAAAAACTTTGTTAAATAAATGTCGAAATCCTCTCTAGGCTTTGTTGTCTGTTTCTCTTGCATCTCAAAGAGTTTCTTAGATGGTTGAAATGAAGAGAGAGAGGAAAATGATGAGAGAAAGAAATCTTGAGAATGTGTGTGTGGAGGGAAGGGGATATTCCTTTATTAATCCGAACATATCTCAACTTATAAAGTTTCAGAGATCAAAATGTTTTATCTGTCCTACCGCACCTGATTTTCTGGGAAATGATTCATGAAGTTGGTGGCAGAAAAAAAAGTTTCAGAAATATTTGTGAAGTTTAAAGACTAAATGATCGAAAATGGTTGAAGGGGAGAAAAAGGTTATGAAATTGCAAATAAAAAAAATTTGAAAAAGGCACAAAGCTGAATATGTGAGGAAACATTTATGAGGAGTACATGAAAGGAGAATATTACGATGTGAAAAGGTTTAAGCCAGGAGCTAGAACAAGGAACACACATATGATGAACAAATGGAATAGTTATTACATTGAATATGCTGGATGTTACTTCATCTTTTTATCATTTGATTAAATTGATAAATATATGATAACCAATAGGAGAGGAAGGAAGAAAAACGAGAGAGAAGGGTAGGCAAAGAAAACAGGAGGGAAGGTGGAACGAAGTGAGATAAGCTTAAGGGATGAATGCACCGAATGATGAAGTCAATGTGATGACGACAACATCGTTGAGACAACGACGTAGTCAACAACGAAAATCATGATGTTCGAACGTATTCTTCAAAAGACAAAGAACAAAAGATGAGAAAATTAAAATAAGAAAAAAAGAAGAAGACGGAAAAAGATTAAAAGGTTAGAAATATGTTGGAGAGAGAGTAACGAGTAGACGTGGTTGGATGAAGGAGAAGTATGTTATGTGTGTGTGTGTGTGTGTGTGTATATATGTGTGTATGTTATGTGATGACGGAAAAGTAGACGTTTGATTTCTTGATCTTTGCCGACCGCCGCGACCAATAAATTGACTAGGAGAGGGAAAGGGTTGGTTGAGGAGAAAGCAGAGAGAGAAAGCCGGAATAGAATGTTCTATTCAGAAATAATATAAAGAGAGAGCGAGAGAGAAAGAGAAAGAGAGAAGGCACATGGCTGTTGGTGCACAGTCTTCAGGTTGAAAATGAGAGTAAAATTTTCATTTTATGAGTGAGAATGAGGAGAGAGGGCAATTCAAAAGCAACGTGGACGAAAAGCTGTTGATTAGGGTCATTTGAAAAGCTTTTTTTTCAGTTTGAGAATATTGAGGCGATTATGAAATGAGCAAGTTCTTAAAAAAGTTACTTAAAAAGGATGTTAAAGAAAGAAAAACAAAGTAAAGCATAAAAGACGTAAAGTAACAAAGAAGAACGACGGAGAAGAAGATGAAGATGAAGAAGAAGAAGAAGAAGAAACGGGGAACTTTTACACGACCAACTGAGAAAAGCGCAATGCTTTAAACACACTGTCAAGCATCATTTTGAGCCCGACTGGCGATGAGAACAGAGATCAGAAGATCATTGAAGATTGTTCAGCCTCGTGTTTCTCCATCTCTTTAGTTCATCGAACTATTTCTTATGATGTCTTCAGTCATCTATCCCTTCTCACAAACTGTTTAGACATTTGATTCTTTCTTAAACTCTCTCTGTTTGTACAACATTTTCATTTTGTTTCGTTTCAGCTCTCTCGTTGTTATCTGAGGCATTCCCCTATCTCTATCTCTCGCTCTCTTTCTCCTTTTTGACTTTATGTTTTCTCTTACAGAAACTCCTTGTATACCTTTTTAAGTATCTTCTATGATCAAAATACCAATCTATCACGGTCATTGACCAATCGAAGCCAGTCAACTTTGTCAAACGTCAACATGCATACAATACAAAAAAAATTGAACAAAATTGTTAATGAAACGTCATGTAATGTATTATAATTGACTCAAATAGTAGATTGAAGAGGAATTCCAAGAGTTCGTTACTCGAGGAAGAAGACTACATGTAAATTATTTTCTTCAAATTTCCTTATAAAGATAAGAATATGGTTGTCTGATCTTTATACTTTACATCTAGCATTTGTTAAAAGAGGAGAGAGCTAAACATCAAAAAATGTTGAAAAAAAGCTGAAAGAAAGGTAGAAAATGAGAGTGAGAGAATGGAAAAGAAGGAGAAGGTGGTGTGGTAGTCACTTCTGCAATGAGCTTCGGGTAGTTTGGAGTGGAATGAAAACCAAAAAAAAAAGAAAAAATCTCGAATTTACTGCATGAATCATAGTTCTGACGTGCTGGAGGGAAAGCCATTTGCACAACAAAATCTGAACTTCAATTGGTCATTCGTCATTTACCAAACGCAAAATGTTTAATTTAACGTTTGCAGATAAGATTTTGGGTGTAAAATATTATAAATTATTCAAAAATACAAATAAATATATATATATATAGAGGAGAGAAAGAGAGTGTGTGTATATTAAATAATATTATTTTGTAATGCATAATGGGTGTTGAGAGATAAGCAGGTGTATTATTAGATGGAACTTCTGATCTTTTGATTCTCTTTTTTCTACTTCTGGAGAAATGATGTATATGAAAGACATTGAGAATGCTTTTCACAACAAGAGAAGATGCAAGAGAGAGAAAGAGAGAGAGAGAGAGAGGGAAAAGCAGATAGAGAATGAGATCTCGGTGAGAAGTTGATTAAAAAAAATTTTATTTTTCATCTGATTTCTGTATTATACTCGTTCATGACTGATTTTCTAAGAAATGTTTTCAATGATAGCAAGGAAAAGAAAACATACAAAACTTGCCTCAAAATAGATTTCATTCTCTCTTTCTCTCTCTCTCTCTCTCTGTCTCTCTCTCTCTTTATCTTTTTCTCTCTCACATTCCTCTTTACATTTGCCAAAGAGAATTTTCGCATTTTTTCTCCTTTTCTTCACAATTTTGTTTGTTCTATAAGTAAAAATATGAAAAATTGTTGTTTAAAGATAAACAACTTTATTAAGAACAACTCTCAAGACTTACCGTAATCTCAGCTTTTTTTTTATTTTTGGAATGAAGAGAATGAGAGAAAAGACTGAAAGCTTAAAACAACCGCTCACTGTTCCAACAAAAGTTAAAATGAAGAAAAAAGAAAGAAAAGAACTTGAAGACGGCATTCTCTGAACGTGGCACACAATTTTTCAAAATCACTTGTTATACATGAAGCAAGTGTATGAGCAAGTGTGTCTGTGAGACGTCACACAGCCATCATCATTTGATTCCAATTCATGGTTTGAGCTGACGTCAACCACGTGTATCACGTGGCAAGAAAACCACTTGGAATAGGTTATTGGTCATGTTGTTTGATAAACACGTGACTGA